AAAAAAAAAACGACGGAAAATGCAGAACAGAAATACAACAGAGTGATATCAGATCATCAAACGATATACATTCAAAATTACAGATGAAGATAACGGATTATTATGACGATGAAATCTCACCTTTAGCGGCAGAGGGTTAGGGGGAAGAGAGAGTCGAAAAGCTGCAAAACCATCGAACACCAAATGAGACGTATGTGTGTCATCTCCTCTATTTATACGAGAGAGAATCGTAGTGGAGTTAGAATTAACATTTCAATTTCTAAATTAATTTGATATAAAAATAGTAAATATTATAATTAATAAGATTGATATTGAAATATGTTGAGTGGATTAATATATTTTTAAAAAAATATGCTCAATCTTATTTTTAATAAGTGTCGTTTAGAGAAGTTGCCTAGTAATTATTTTTTTTTTCCAATAATAACACTCATTAATGAAGATAGTTATAAATATTTTGAGAAAAGATAGTTGCCAAAACGTCATTTATTTAGTTAATTGTTGATAAAGCCAAAATAATATTAAAAAAAAGGTAGTACAACCATAGTTATTTTTTATTTTTTAATTGTGAGTGGAATTATGAAAAAAAAAAGGTGATAAAATGAATAACATTTATTGTGCCTTTTTATTTTTGAGATAAATCTTGAGAACAAAAAGAAAAAAAATATTTTGTTTCTAGGGAATGGATAAAGTCATGTTGGCGAGATGATTTCATCAGTGTTTTTAACAGTAGATTATCTAAACTACAGTAAGCCATCGTGTATCTAAAGACTAAAAATTGACGGAATCACTCCGACAACATGACTGTATTTCATTTAGAAATTCTATGGTACCACATGTGACACCATAATATTGTGCCACATGTGGTGACATAAAATTTCTGATATTTCATTCCCTTGTTTTTATATCCAATAACAGCCATTAAACAAAATTGAAGTTGAGGTCCTCATGATATATTGCAGGTAAGATTAGATAAATAGTAGGATTTATGTGTATCTCGATAAGCTAGAATCCCGTATGAGCTTTCTGCATTTGAATTTTGAATATTATTATTTCATCGACAATATTTAAAGATAAAATCAAACTAATCATCCTCTCAAGTCTCAAATTACATACCACTACTCTCGAGAACATATTTTTGTCAAACATTAAACAACTTGTTCAACAGATTTGCATAACTTTAATTAAAAAAATCCCATACTCAGATTAAAGTATCATACTTCGAAAAACAATATAAACAAAATATAACATTTCATAACATAACATAAGAATGTATAATTATTTAAAAAAAAAAAAAGAAGTATGACATTGTGCTTTGTAAATAACTAATGCACGTGTTTGACAATATATATATATATATATATAACTTTCTCAATTTATGGCTATAAATGGAAATATGGAATAACACATCCATCTCACAGCAACAATCATCAGGAATCTTGTGTCAAAAATCAAAACTTTTTTAACATTAAAAAAGAATATGACAAATAATATAAAATAAATCGAGAAAAGATTAAAAAAAATGAAAATTTCAAGAAGGCGAAGTCACAATTCAATGTGTGTGTTCTTCTGAAGCATGAACTTGCATTTCAGGCAATATGCTGATTTTACTATTTACTCCACCGATCCTTTGAGGCGGCCACACGACGTGGGTGACTCGTCCGCATATCAGGCCCAAAGGGATCTGCCACGACAGCATTTGTGAGTCGAGAAAGGTAACAAAAAATAAATAAATAAATAAATAATATACAACAATGCAAAAACCGTAGATCTTATAGTATTTGCATTTTTTACTATTTCACCCACCAAGTGAAGAAGCATTATTCCAAAGCCCATTTATAGTATCAAATTTTCAAGTCAATAAAAGATAAAGGAAATGTCTGACTGATGCAGATGATTTGATACAATATCTTTGGTGTAAGAAATGATGGTACACTTTAATGATTTAGTAATTAGTACTTTAGTTGTAATTGTGTGGGATCATCTCATGGGTAACAATAATTCCAACTCGGGTGACAATTTTTTTTTTTTTTTAATAAAAACGATGAAGATAATACTACCATGCCTTAGTTTACTAAATTATATAATTAAGCAATTAAAAGTTTCATCAAAAATCAAATATAAGTCTAGCGAGCGTTGCACATATATATTTCATCTTACCGGACCATGTGATCTCGAGTCCAAGCTAGAAGCTGCATTGTCTCCCACGACCCAACAATGCCCTTCCGGGACCCTAACAGTGTCTTGTGACGAAAGATAGATCCAATCACCGGGCAAGGCAGCAATTCTCTTCACATTTTTCTCCTTATAATTAATCGGGGATCTGTAAAATTATATTAGCTGTAAAATCGGTGGTGAGAACCATCCAAACAGGTATAGTTTAATCTCAGAAGCATATTTCAAATATGATAAGAAAACCTCTGCATATAAATCAAGAAGTGAACTTTCTTCCAGATCATGAGAACGGATGCAAGTTGACGTAATAGGTAATATGAAAAAAAAAAAAAAAAAAAAAAAAAAAAAAAAAAAAAAAAAAAAGGCTTGTGCAGCACTAATTCTACGTATTGGACTAAAACAAACAGAGTAAACGACTGGAATAATATATGCTCTGTCATCAACCATATAAAACATAAGGAAATTTTCAGTGATTTAGCATAAAGGCCCAATGATTGGATATATCATTTATGTTGCAGGCATCGAGTTCAACAAAGCGTGAGCTAATTTGACTACTCGAGATTTTTTCGCAATAATCAACACCAAGCAAATGTGATAGCTTTAGCTTCAAGGAGACTCAATTACTCTATATAAACAAATAATTCAAAAAAAAAAAAAGGGACCAATATTACTCTCACTCAGCCTAGCAAATAACCTCCAAAACATACAAAGAAGCTCTAAAGCAGAAACTAATGGCAGCTAAATTGCAAGTAAAACCAAACTGCAACTCAATAAAATAAACAACAAATAAGTATATAGATGAGTTAGGCGAAAACCTCTGTTCAAATTTACACCATGAGAGGCGAAAATTACCGAAAAACTACAACGTCGCCCCTCGAGAACTTGTACTTCTCAAGGCATAATTTCTCAACCAATACATAGTCATCTGCCACTCACCACAAATAATCAACCAATTGAGTTAAAACTACATAAAATCAAATTAAAAAAAAAAAAAAAGGTAGCTTTTTGTAATATAGGAAATTTACCGAGCACGAATCCCGTCGAGTCTCCGGCATGGGGATTCAGAGTGGGAGACATTGATGAGCCGCGAACGGCCATGAAGCTTGCGTACCGATCGGAAATTGTGAGGCCAATCAGACCGGCGGTGAAATACTTTTTAGCTAGACTCCATAGGAAGCTTCGAGTGGACATATTGGGGATAACGGAAAAAATAAACTCTGGGATTTTGCTTAGGTATGAAAAGGGTTCACCGGTAAAAGCAGCCGCCGTCGGAGGTGGGCCGGCGTTTGACGGTGGTGAAAAGTGAGCTTGCGTGTTAGGTTTTAGGTTGAAGATGAAATTTCATCAATAAAATAAAACTGAAATCGTGTTTGTGTGGTAGGTAACGTGAAGAAAAATCTTTCCCAAAATATAAAAAAATAGACCCAAAACATTACGAAACTCTATAAATGCACACATAAATTTAAAAAATTCTATATTTTATGAGACTCCTAAATTGATATATTTATATATTATATATATATATAAGAAATTTATAACATAAAACCTCAATATAAATTTATAATATAAATTTCATATTTTTGTTTTTAGTTACATCATTTTTAATATTAAATTGTGCATATTTATATGAAAAATTGGAGCCATTGGATGGTTTTCTTATGGAGCCATCTACTACTTAATGTGTTGACACCTGTCCAAATTATATTTATTGTATGACACGTGTCAATACACTATTGGTGAATAAGTGTGGATAGCTCCATAAGTCGAGCCATCTGATGGCTCCATAGCAAAACTGTCTAACTTGAACAACAAAAGTATTATTGAATAAAACTAAATTGTCTTATGACTACTTCTATTTTGTAAGCCTTATGGGTGGGAATTAATAGATTCATTTTTTAATAAAAAAATCAAATATTTAGTACTCATAAAAATGTTTAGCATCATCTTAACTAATTAACAGATTCATCCTAACAAAATATTACAGTTCATTGAAATGTATACTTTTTCATATAGAAGTACGATTTTTCTCAAGAAAAGTATTGCCATCTTACAAACCAGTGACCAGTCATATATATTATCTATCTACTGGTTCAAGTGATTGTGAGCAAATTAATGGTGTATAAATCCAGAAATTGATGACACATTTTATATAGGGTAAATGTATAGAAAAATGCTACTTGAACACACAAGATTTTTAGCCTGAACAATATTATATTCCGAAATACAATTGGAAACCGAGTACGACCTGAGTACATTTGCTTACTCGTCAAATTTTCCGTTTACTACCTTTCATTCGACTGGATTCACATGTTTTCTCCTGCTCGTGTGATACAATACACACGTGACCCGAGATGATTGACTTTCAGACCAGCTTCCTCACACCCAGTAAAGAAAAGTGATTCTTCTTCTTTCCCTATCCTGCGCCGCCAGCTCATAACAAATGCTGGCCGACCGAGCGGGCATTCATCTAAGGTGTATTGAAATTAAGCATAAATTACAAAACTACCCCAAAGCCGTAACTCAATTACCCAAAAAAAAAATCCTTTTATTCAAAGGTAAAGGGTAGTTTTTGTGAAGTATGATAAAATAGAGCAAGGGCAACATTTACCGTTTTGCCCTCTGATACGAGCAAAGACCTCACCAGCTTTTGGTTTGTAAGATTTAAGGAGAAATGATAATGACTTTATAAGGTTGGTGTATTGCTTAACATCTGCAAAAGTAATGGTTCCTTATCAGTATAGGCCATTGCGACACATTTTTTATGTTCATACATTGTAGAGATATTATTAGATTGAGCATTTTTCCTCCCCTTTTTATAAACTTCATGTGAAAATTATCGAACAACTGAATCACCGATTGAAAATACAAAATCAGACCAATTTATAGTGGGTATTCAGGATAAATAAATTCAGAACTCGTAACTCCTCAAATTTACTGTTTTCTATAGCGAAAGATTGAGTTGCAGCGCTTACACAGTAATATATCACTGGCAATAATTAGGTCCCAGTCTGGTTGGGGAATCGGGAAAACATCTCCCCAAGAATCTGCAAAAATAGTAATAAAAAAAGAAATTAAAAATAAAGATTAAATAAAATCTCAAAGTTGCACAAAATCGAAGAAGCTTACGTCTCACATGTGGAAGGGCAGGGGTAACTCCATTTATCCGGCAATTGTACGCTATATTCTCTTCAATTTCAGCATCGTCATAGTCAGATGTTGTAATGTCGAGTTGAAAAGATTTTCGCAAGAAGATTGCCAAAGCTCCAGTTCCACTACAATGGTATGAAAGTCGGCAGATTTATACACATTACGACAATGAATATAAAAAAACTTTGGAAATATAACTTAACGGCGCAAAACGAAATGAGGCATTAAAGCATTGTTTCAACTTTAAACAGCTTTTTAATTTACCTCCCAAGCTCGAGTGTTCTCCTTCCTTCTATCCACGATCTGCGTTCGACCAGCCATTCAGCAAATGCAAATGTGCCGGGCCATAATAAATTAGCATTTAATTGGTGAAAAGAAAATTCCCGGATCAACAATTCCTACACATGAGCCAAAACGAAACAAATAAGTTTCATGAAGATGATTCTCACCAAAAAGAGCCAACAAAAAATAAAGAAACAAAAAATAACGGTACTGGAATTTTGTCTAAAGTTTCAAGAAAACAATACATTGTTCAAATGTCTTACAAACTCAGCTACAGCCACATAAAGACACGAAGCATGCCAATAACACTCATATCTTAAGTTTAACAATAATTTCGAAAACTAACCGATATTTACTAAAACGAATATTTGCTCCTGGGCTGCTATTACCTATTGAGCAGGCCTAATTATTAGACAAGCATACTTTTTCAATAGACATGAATACTTCCAAACAGAAATATCACTCTCTAAAAACAACATAAACAAAAGTATGACATCTTCATTGTACAAGTATGAATTTTTGTTAAGAAAAAGTACGACAACCGACCCTCCTCACGGTTACGCTGTCACATATGGATATTAAGTTATGCAAACCTTAATTGAATCCCATTAGTTATCCTAAGTAACCCCTAAATCTACCCTTCTATTTTGAGATACAAATAGTCAAATAAACCACCAAAAACCAATCTACCCAACCACTCATTCTATCTTCTTCAATATTTCAACCAGCAAAGGTACAACCACTGATGCACAGTGTAACAGTCACCGATCCACTGATCCACTAATCCAATTTCATATCCAAATGAAAACTACAGCAAGTAAACAAATTTTATAATATGTATTCAAGCATCTAAGCACATTTCAAGCTCCATATGAAGAAACAATGGCGAAACAAAGGACAAACCATTGCAGGAAACTGGTGCTTTCTCTCCTCGTAGTTCTCATGGTTTTCTGTCCTTTCCTCTTCTGAGGATAAGAATGAATACATCTTCTAGTAAAATATAGAATAAAGTTGAAAATTTAAATCAATTTTTGAGAATAATAATAAATTTGGACGATTACCGGAGGAGCTACCGTCGGCGCCGGCGAAAAGCGAAGAGGGAGAGAAAAGAGCAATGTCCATCCTCCGAGTGAGAATTGCTCATTGCTCTTGGACTGGGCCAATCATTTATTATTGTCTTTCATTATATCTGTTATTAAATGCTTAAAGCCCAAAGTAAGTAATATTGTGGGGGATCAGTTGGAGCTATAGCCTATAAGGCCCAATCATTCAGTCCAAGAGTATTTTATTTCCACATTAAGGAATTGTTTTTAATTCAAAATATAATAAATTAACTTTAATTTAATATAATTGAATATTTGTTTTGTGGTTTATATAAATGCTCCTATTTTTGTTAAAAGGATTTTGATAATAATTATAATTTTTTTTTTTCGGTACAAAGAAAGAGGCTAGGCGCCTAGTGTGTTACGGAGAAGACATCGCGGGTGTAGGCACGCCAATTAAATCATGCTGAAGCCATTGCCGAACACCGCCCGACGGTCCATTGAAATACCGGTACCCCAATGGACCTTTCGCGGCAAAAGAGGCTAAGAAGTCAGCCGCATAGTTTGCCTCACGGAACACGTGTTTAATCTTCACTTCCCACTGTCGGCTCAGGAGCTCCGTAATCCCTGAAACTAAGCCGATGTGCACTCCCGGGATATCAGCCCGTGCATTAGCAAAAGACACCATATATAAATTTTCGTAGAATAACAATCTCTTGAGACTTTAATAAAAATCTCACTATAACATGAATACTGAATTTCGAAATCATTGGAGGTAAGCAAGTAAATAACATAACGCTTAACATTGATAAACATTTAAACTCGTTGTGCACTCTGATTATATTATTAGAAAGAATAAAATCACATATACAAATCACCCAAACAACGGTATATAGATTACTTGAATAAAATCACTTATACTCATCACTGATCACTAACACCATCCCAGCTCCTTGGAGAACCTGAAAATGTTTCAAGGCCCAAAATGGCCTAGTACGGTTGTACATGTCACAAATTTATATCACATAAACACCAATGAATGAAAACTTTACGTTTCACGAAACTCAAAAATGTTTTACGCGCGACTTAATACACAGAATACTCAACTATAATATAATTTAAGCCCAAAGGATACATGAATTGGCGAACCCGAATGTTACACGAATTGCATGTTTAGAGTCGCGTTAAATAATTTGACAGCTAAGACCAAACATTTATTCGAGACATGTAAATAAATTTAGTTTGAAAAGTAAACCCCACCTCGACCTCGAACTGTAGCATGTGAAATGACTTTGAGAAATGCTCGTGCTTGAATGATTCCACCGTGCACGACATTGTCCTTCAATAAAATGTAACTTAATTTAGTAGATGGCTCGACTAGAAATAAGAGAATTATCTTAATTAAATAACTTTTGTATAATTATGATAAATATTAGTGAAAGTAAACGGGTGGCATTAAAGGATAGATTGAACCTAAGAATATTTGGTTCGGTAGTCGGGTCAAAGCTCCTTTTCGATGTCCATTACTCCAGCTAATACTCTTCGTTTCGCAGACAGTCACCATCAATTCCCAATTTTCCATTTCCCGCTCTTTCTTTTTCCTCACAATTCTTTATTCTCTTCACTCTACAAATCCATTCTCTTCTAATTCTTTCCCTCCTGCTTCATGTGACGCGTACACAAGCACCCTCTGTCAGCGGGTGCTGCAAATGGTGGGCTACGCGCGAGACGACGACAAAGGACGGCTCAGCTCGTGAGCAACGAACAGCTGATGGCGGCGGTTGGATCTTGGAGCGGCGCGTCAACAGGACAACAGACCGCGCTCGTGAGCGGCGGTTGGTGAAAGGTCGGCGAGTCAGATTCATGAGCGGTGGCGACCGGCGGGGATCTGACGACCTGCTCAGCAACGACGTGGATGATTACGGCTTGGCCTCAGATGCGGGTCCCGCCACTAGCGGCGTGGAGTTGCGGGCAGCACGGATGTGCGTCAGCCCTATGCTGTGTGACGAGCGGCGACGAACTGCTCATCTGAAACGTGCGCGGCTGATCGAGCAGCGGCGCCGGCGACGTTACAAGTGAAACTGGTGTGTAGTTGTAGGATTTGGATACTGAATAATCTGTGTTGTATAGTCTATGGATCTGAAGAAATAGGAAAACAGAAATTCATAAGAGCTGCGTGAGAAGAAATCTAGTTTGGTAATGGCGTAGGGTTTGAATTGATAAGAAGAAATGTAATGGGTTGGTTGTTTTGTTGCCGATTTTTAAGGTGTATGGAGGAGAGATATGTGTGGATACATATGATAGAATTGAATCGTTCCAACTAATTCTTTTTAGTTAAAATGAAAATAAAATATTTACGGTAAATGGAATGATAGTTTTCTCTTTATTTATCTTAAATAAATTGTCTTGGTTTAATATTTATGAAATTTTGCCTTAATTTAATATTTCTCAAATTCACTATTTTTCCAATTGATTACATTGCGTATCCATCTTTAGTATTTCATTTTAATTTCTCCAAACTTGCTACATTTCACTAAACATATCAATCAATTCTTCCCAAGGACCGTTGGATCATGAATCTAAATGGAAATTTTCAATCAGATTACTAGAGCTCATCACAAGAAGATACCACAAATAAATTACAGGAAAAAATTTCAAATTTTGCCTAATAACATCGAAATCTCAATTCCACCCCCACGTGTAGATTAATACAAACATCGTCGTACAAAATAATTAAAGAAAAAAAAAATGGGAATACATACACTGAGCAGAAAAAGCAATCAAAAGCAGCATAGATCAAATTTAACTTTCACAAGATGATGTTAGTATTCTTCTTCAGGCAACAAATTGAACAAAAAAGAAAACGGCGCGTGCGAATATAACACCATGTTTGTAGGATCAGGAAAACCGGCACATACAGATTCAAATTGTCTCAAACAGCAGCAAGGTTTTTTAAGATGATAGCTGGAACCTGCCGCTTGGCTTTTTTCTTCTCCATCCCTGAAGAAGTTAACCATATACGAACAATTAAGTATACCCCACAAAGAGGAAAAAACGAAAGAAGAAAAAGGTCATTAGTTGAGAAAACTTACAAAAGCGGCATAATATACAAATGTGAGTCCTGCTAAAACTATGAACCCAATCTGAAACACGTTGTACCTGAAACAGAAAACAAATTTTCAGCACTGAAATTTCTGGGTTAAAATTATTAAATGAATAAGATATAAGCAGTGGCAACTGACTTGTACAAATATTTAATTCCACGAAGAGATTGCAACGTGTGACTGAAAATTTCTTGAGCTGCAGTAGCTTGAGCATAATACGCAAATGCTGTGGCACAGAACTGAATCACACTGCAGAGTTTCAACCAAACATTAGTATATAGTTTGGCCGTGATCAGAAGTTTATTTATGAAAACAAGGTGAATTTTCGAAATTCCTGCATTCATTGTGAGCTTTTAAAGTGAGTGTGGCGCAATATAGCATAAATAAGTTTCTTCAAAATTTTGAGGCAAATTCTCAACCAATTTGAAATTTGTATGAAATAGGGAAGATAACTTAAATAAAGAACACTATATGAAATTGCTAAAATGACCACGTCAATTTCTCAACAGAATCAATTTAAGGACATCAAAATAATGAACTATCTTTCAAAATTTGATTCTAAGCCTTAATTAACCCTCTTTCAACAAAAGACAAATATCGCTCAAGGTGTACATAAAGCTGAATCAGCAGATGTTACACCAGTTACCTGATTGAGCAAAGAAGAATGAGGCCCACATTGAAAAGAAAGGAGTTCATAAGTGTAGCCCCCCACCTAGAAAAATATGTTCACAAATCAGGCGACAACATCAAATACCAGAAACTGAAACATGAGGTAAAAAAAAAAAA